ATGTAAAGTCTTGTGGTCTTTTCTGTATCTGATTTCCTGGGGTGTATTTGGCACTGTTATTTTCCTGCAGTTTGTATCTTTGTGATATTGTTGGAAAAGATGCTTCAGAACATCCTTAAAATGTTACTTTTGTCGTCTTTGCTTTCAGTTGCCTGGCTTCAGCTTTGCATACAAATTGTCTCTGGGTCAGCTCTTGTAATCTTTTCATTTCCATAGTTAGGCCCCTGGAGTTTTGTTGTAATAGTTTATACAGCACTCTTATGCAATATTCATCAAGGAATAATAAAAAGGTTTAAAGGCAACACTGACAAGTACAAATAGTTACCATAATTAGAATTAATTCAGATTTTAAAAATTTTCTACAGCAAAAACATAGAAAATAGCTCTACTTACAGCTATTTTTGAAAACTGGCAAGACTAGATAACAGTTTAAAAATATTTTATGGTATTCTCTTTGAGAGGTGTGTCTGTGTTGTTGTGTGTGTATTTTTTCCTTCAGTTTTGTCAAAAAAGTACTTGTTGATTTAGTGATTTCATTTGTTCATGCCTTTAACTGAGTGTTCTAGGATTTGAAGTATAATGACAAATGAAGGAAGAGAGAGCTCAGAATGCACGGAACACAGACTGGTGTAATGGAAAGTGTACTGGATTTGGAGTCAGATGTTCATGTTCTATTTTACCACGTAGTGATTATGATCTTGGGCAAGTAACTCATATTTGTCTTCAAATCTCAGCTTCCACATTCTTTTCTCAGTAAGATATTTCCTGGCTTCTCCCCATATCCTCATCCAAAATAAGTCTTTCTGTTGTAGGCTTTCTTTAGTACCTATACTTTTTCTTTAAAACACTTCTTTTCTATTGAAGTGATATATTCCTGTGTTTATCTATATTTGTTTAATTTGTTCTTCCTACCTGGATTACAATTCCTAGGAGTAGGGTTTGTATCTATTTGATTCATCACTAACTGCCCTGCCTTTAGCACAGGGCTGGACACGTGATAGGGGGTCAATAAATGTTTGTTAAATAAACGAACTTCTTAATACCTTGTCATATGTCTTCACAGATATAAAACTCTACAACCACACCTCTTACAGAAAGCCTTCTTTGAGAAAATCAGGACAGGAGAGGTTCCCATACCACCTCCCTAAAGATATATAGGACTGTGGAGTTTATGAAGTTGTACACTAACTTTTTATCTTATGTGTTTCTCACAACTCAGTGAAGTAATCGATTGGCTAAAAGATCCTACTACTAGGACCGTATATTTTAACTCATGTCTAGCACCATGTTGTTGTCAACACTCAGTGAACACTCAAGAAACAAAACAGATTTCAATTAGTAGTTTTTTTGAAGTGACATTATAAAAGCGTGGCATGTTTTTATATAGCATTTTTAAAATCCCTTGTTTTATTGACAATAATGTTTATAAAGTTTTAAATGTTGTTTAAGAAATAAATTATCAGTCTTTTTTTTTTTTTTGTGAGGAAGATCAGCCCTGAGCTAACATGCATGCCAATCCTCCTCTTTTTGCTGAGGAAGACCGGCCCTGAGCTAACATCTATTGCCAATCCTCCTCCTTTTTTTTCCCCTTTTTCTCCCCAAAGCCCCAGTAGATAGTTGTATGTCATAGTTGCACATCCTGCTAGTTGCTGTATGTGGGATGCCACCTCAGCATGGCCGGACAAGGGGTGCATCGGTGGGTGCCTGGATCCGAACCCAGGCCGCCAGCAGTGGAGCGCACCACTTAACCGCTAAGCAACGGGGCCGGCCCCTATCAGTCATTTTTGTTTAGTCGTTTATTCATGTTCTGGTCAGGGTAAGGTATTTGCTTGAGATCTGAATCAGTATTGAAAGACAAGTGTATGTGGACATAATATCTTTCCAGTAAATCTTGCAACTATTTCTGTGCCTACATATGTTAACATTTTTATAATTGGCTTCCAAATAGCAAACACAGATGGCTGTAGTCTGAATTTTCAGCATGTTTTAGAATAAATGTTTTCCTAGTAATTTAAAGTATATCATTTCAGTATCAGATGATTAGCTAATTGAGTAGTTTCTGATTTTTGCTTATCTGCTAGCTTGCCATTTTTTAGATTTAAAATAAAAATAGCTTTGATAGCTATCAGAAATTAGATTTATGTGATAATCTTGTTCCCTCTCTCACATTTTTATAAAACAGAACTCTTACTAAAAAGGTATTGTGGGCATTATTTTTGAGAATTTAGTGTGTTGTGGTATTTTTGGCCTAGTAGAGGAGAGAGATTATGGTGAAAGGGATTATTTTGTTTTTTAAGTCATTTAATTGCTAATGTTAATTCTGAGACAATGGAAGTTGTTTATATAGTAGAATTAGATATGCCTGTTATGTCATCTTAATTCTCAGGTTCTGTGGAATAGTGCTTAAAATGATTGCTTAGTGATGAGTTTTGTATAAAAGATAAATTATCTTTTTTTCACTCAACATTTATTTATTGAGTACTGTTGTAGACTTTGAATATATAACAGTGAACAAAACAAAAGTCCTTACCCTCATGGAGTTTACCTTCTGGTTAATTGTTCTGAAAAAATAATATAACTTCATATAATCAGTAACAGGCCTAAAATATTCTCTTGGTAATTTTATGTCCTTAGAAGTGATTTGTTCTGAACACTATAATAGGACCATTCTACTTTTATTCCATATCTATCTAGTATTAACTTTTTCATTTGGGTTCATTTAGTAATGGATACTGTTGTCTCAGAGAGAGGTGTTTTTAAAAAGTCAAACTTTATAATATAGTTTTAGTTTTCTCCTTTGTGTTATGTATTTGTACATGTAAGTAAATATTAAATGTAAATTATATATATTTAACCCAACGGTTAGAATTTTAAACAAAATCTTCATCTTTGTCCTGCTATCTTCTGCTGTCTGAATATATTTTCTAATGTATAATGACATGGAATTTTAAGAAGTTTCTGAAATTGAGCATAAATATCAAGAATGTCATTATTTTTCTTGGTTTTGCATTCTCTGAGGAATCTTTTAAAAATGATGTTCCTAGACTTTTGATTCCATTTACAGATAATATATAATACTATTTCAGTTGGTTTATTTTTAAGAATGAATTTGCTATCCTCCAAAGTAGTTTAAATGCATTCCAGCAGCTTAATAATGTACAAATAGAGGCAACTGGTCTTGCATCTGTTTCTTAAGCAGGCATGAGGTAGAATAACTGGCTAGTTGCTAAATAACTGAGAAAAAAATTTAAATGTGATATATTTTTATATTCTACAAGGGCAGTGATTAGATATTTTTGATGTATGAATTAGACATCTTTATTAAGTAAACATTCCATATCTGTATACTTTTCTTCATCTACAGCAGACAAAATAAGTATAAATATGCTGTATGTTATTCTGTAGGTTCTGATATTTGTCACATATTTTGATAGTTAATGATATCAACATCATTATTAAGATTGCTTTAATACTTTGTATCATAAGAAATTAATTGGCCATCTTTGTAATGGGTCTAATTAATAGTTATATAATTAATATACTGGTGGTATATTTCCTCTTTTTAAGGCATAAGGGGCTTACCCCTGTTCTTTTGCTTTTGTCTCTCTCCTCTCGGAATCATCAAAGCACTCAAATTAAATTTAGGAATCAGTGATTAGTAGTTGCTTCATAAAAAATTTAGAAAATTTATTGCATAAAAAAGGAAATTTCGAATAAGCACAAGGAAAAATACCTGTAATCTCAAATCCATAGATAGACCAAAGTTATTATGGGTATAGTCTTCCAGATTTGTGTACGCCTGTGTGTATAATGTTGCTAAAATCCAAGCTAGTTAGAGTTATTGAAGACTGTGAGCCTGAGACCTGCCTTGTCTTTGTTAAAAGAGATGCATCTAATTTTCCTTTTATTAAAAAAGATTATATCGCAATATTATTTTATACCTACTACCATGTCATAAACATCTTTATTAACAGTGGTTTGCATTAATATTATTTTAATTGAGTTAATCCAATGTTGCCCAAAGTATGTATATGCATACTTCTGATTTTAGCTGGTGACAAGATATTTTAGATGATATCCTGATCCAGTATTAAATAACATTGGTTAGTATTGTAGGAAAGTTATTACCATTCCAGGTTTCAAGTCCATCTGCTTATGGCAAGCCAAAAGTCTGTTTGATGCTCGTACATCCTTAATATCCTTCCCACACTTGCCTATTTCTCTTATTACCTTCAGCAATAATATATAACTAAAATTGTAATAGTGTAGTTTTATTTTTCATTGTATTCATTTTTGTTTTCTATTTTTTAGAAAGAAATCACAAGTGATACTGGCTTTTAATTTATACCAGGGTTAGAATGTCTCCTTTTAAAATAAATTTACGTAAGAAAAGTACACTAATTAAAACATGTTAAGTAAATGATAAAGGTCGAACTAGGATATGGCAAAAATCCTGATGATGATATGTAAAAATGATTAAGGGATGGGAAGCACTGTTGTTTGATATTTTTATTTAAATTATTTCTAATTTTTTCCCATAATAAATAAGCCTGCAATGATCATTTGTTTTCTTTTTACATGGACTAATTACATTTAGTATAAATTAGTAGAAGTCCCAGAAAGTCCACAAAGCAAATGCATTTAGAGCTCCTATAGTTTCATATAATCTCACATCCAGAGATTACACTCTCATCAAACAGTGAATGAGAGTACTTGTTTTCCTTATTCTATCCAACTCTGGGCTAAATTTTTGTCTTTAGACACGACATTTTCACTTCTTTCTTCTCAATATTTGAATAGCATGTATTCAGAAATACCTAATTTCTTTGCAATTCAACAGTTATTCTTATATTAAAGACTGTAACAATTGTCATTTATTTTGTCATCATTTTAGCGATGGTTTGTTCTTTTAAAGAAAGTAACTCCAGAAGTGATTTTTACTTAGTGGTGATAAAGGAAAATTATCTTTGACAATAATGACAATTTCTTTTTTTCTGTAGCTTGCCCAGTTTCGACAAAGGAAAGCTCAGTCTGATGGGCAGAATCTTTCTAAGAAGCAGAAAAAAAAGAAGAAAACTTCAAGCAGTAAACATGATGTGTCAGCATACCAAGCTTTGAATATTGAGCAATCACAGAATGACGAGATGTACGTAAATAGTTCTCAGAGAGTAGGATCAGCTGTGACTCCTGAATCCACAATAATGAGAAACCTACATGGTGGAGAAATGATCAGACGTGACCACGTTTTCTCTGTTGAAGTAAGTATTTATCCAGATTTTTAAACATTAAAGTTCTAAGTGGAAAGTTGTATGTCAACACTCATTAGCATCCTGTGCAATTTTTATGAGCTTATTTCAAGGAACATTTATTAAGCAATTAGAATATGCCAAGGATTGAGCACCAAGGATACAGAGGTAAATATGACAGTCTCTGCCCTTTCAGGAAGTCAGTCTAGTGGGGAAGGCAGTTTGTAAGATAGGTCGTGTTCTCTGATTAGAGCTATTCTTGCAACAGTGTACTTGATACCCTAGAGTACCATGATTTGGAAGAACGCCCAAATCAGCCTTGTGTGTGTTATTTGGGAAAGTTTCCTGGAAGAGATAATAGAACTGAGCCTTGAAGTGTAAGTTAGAGTTAGCTTAGAGGCAAAGAAGTTGGAGAGGCAACCTCGGTGCCAAAGAAACAGCATTTGAAAAGACATGAAACAGTGTGATGTGATTTGGAAACCATAGGTAGTTTAGTTTTAAATGGATCACAAAGTGATGGGGATGGGGTGGTAGTAATGGTAAGGGGCAGGAGATTGCACCTGGCCCGTAGAAAGTCCTCAATAAATGCTAATTTTCTTCCTCCCCTTAAGGATATAATTTTCCAGAATAAGGAGATGAGGGAGAAGTTGAGTGGATTGGGTGGTAGGTAGGATGGTGGAGCCACCAACTAAGACCAGGAGTAGAGAATGATGGGATGTTTAGGAGAAAGAGTGTTGGACAAGGCAGATGATGATTATAATTTGGATTGTGCCCTGGCATATTTATGTGGAAACAGAAATATTTAGATATGTAGGGATTTAAGCTTTATTTAAGAGGTCAGAGATGTCAGTAGAGATTTGCTATTCATAAGAATGGATGTTTTTTTAGTTTTTCCTGCTTGAGTTTGTTGAGCATCTTGGATATGTTAGATTAATATCTTCAAGTATTTTTTCTGCCCGTTTCTTTTCTCTCCTTCTGGGTCTCTTGTTATGAATATGTTAGTATGTTTGATATTGTTGTACATATCTCTGATGCTCTGCTCATTTTTCTTCCTTCTTTTCCTCAGACTGGATAATTTCAATGGAACTATATTGAAGTTTGCTGATTCTTTCTTCTTCCTCCTCAAATCTGATGTTAAGCCCCTCTAGTGAATTTTTCATTTCAGTTATTCTACTTTTAACTCCAGAATTTCTCTTTGGTTCTTTTATAAAAGTTCTTTCTTTTTATTGTTATTCTCTATTTGATGAGGCGTTATTCTTGTAATTTTCTTTAGTTTTTTAAATATTGTTTTCTTCACTTATTTAACTATATTTAAAATACCTGGTCTAAAGTCTTTGTCTATTCAAGTCCAATATGTGTGTTTCCTCAGGGACAGTTTCTACTGACTGTTGTTTTTCTTGTGTATGAGCCATACTTTCCTTTTTCTTTGTGTATTTTGCAATTTTTTATTGAAATCAGGACCTTTTAAATAATATAATATGGCAACTCTGGTGCTTGATTTGATTTGAATATGTATTTGTTATCTTTTTCTGCATAACAAATCAATATTTGGGTTCTTTACTAGAGTTTTAGTATTTTGAGTGCAAAGAATGTCTTGTTCACCATTTTATCCTCAGTACCATAGTTTTCAGTTCACAGTATGCATTTAATCAATAGCTATTTAAAAGGCATAAGTGAATCAATGGTGAGGGCCTGTGTTATGAAAATATTTTAGATTTAAAAGTGGGCCACATCCGTTAGGAACCACTGCTACAGACGTTTAGAATAGGGGTAAGCTTATTTTCGTTACTGGCATCAGTTACTACATCATGGAGGAGGTAGACTTAGAACTTGGTCTTGAGTGATGAATAAAATTTCCATACGTGTAAATGAGAAAGGAGATGGTGGTGGTTCATATTTGTTGAATGAAAATGTGAAATATCTAAGTCTTGTTTCCTAACTTGTAAAATGAGATTCTTAGATTAGATGAGAGGGTGAACAGTGAAATTTTAGATTTCCTCCTTGACTCTTCCTAGTACTTCTAAGCTTAGGGAAGCTTGGAAAAGCCACTTGCTGTATACCCAAATCCCAAGGATAAAAGAATGTCTTTGAAAGTGCTTTGTAAGGTGCAGAGGAGTTAATAACAACAAAGGTTGTTATTTTTCTTCACGTTACTACTTTTCTAGCATCAAGATTTGATGATGATTCTTTTTGAAGAAATTAAACTTTTTTGACTAACATTTTAGGACTTTCTTTTATTTAAGAGATATAAGAATTAGAGGAATGATATCTTATTTGGTGCTTTTGTCTTACAAATGATTTGTAGTGTATACAAGACCCTGTGTGAAAGTACCTCTTGATACTTTTATATTTAGAAAAATGCCTAGTGATAAATTTTAGATATGTTATATAGCCATTGTGGTTCATAACCAGAGTGAAATTTTTAAAGATCTGAATAATTTTTACTAGTTTTTTAGTGATATTTTTATGTGAGTTTTCTATCACATGTTACTGTTAGTAATGAGTTAATAATAAAAAAAGTACAATATTTAGGGGGAGAAAAGACCTTAATATAATCAATTTTTACTTTTTGTTTTAGCTGGAAAGTGAAATTTCAACCACAGCAGATGATTATAGTTCAGAGGTAAGAATAAGTAATATTATGATTGACATTTTATAGTATTATTGAAACTATTATTGATTATTAGTACTTTATTTCTTGCAACTCACATGCTTCTGTATTTTTATAAATGTAATAAAATATGGCATAACATAATATCGTGTAAATGACCTAGGAAACCTGAAGATTATGTTTTTCAGTATATCTTTTTTTCAAATTATTAACTGGGGTCCTAAATCCGTTTGAATAGCTTGGTCATTAATTAGATAGAGACCTTGTTTTAGTTTCTGGGAAAGTGTTTGATATTGGGTTTCTGGAATATGTGGTTGTTGTAACGTATCCATATTTAACACACCAAACATTTCATAATACAGGCTATTTCATTTTGAATAATACTTTTTATAAATGCTTGAATTCTAGTCTATTATATAAATTCATTTATTGAAATTAATTTGGCAATAGTGATTTTTAATTTAGAGGATAAAAGCTAATGTAGGCGTTGGCCACTTTAGGAATTACCTTCTTTATTGTTAGTGATAAATATGTTATTTTGTTATCTTTTTCTTATTCTTTTAGATATGGTTTTCATTTCTTTGGCCCAGACTTTGAGGACGTGGAAAATTATTCTTTACTCTGAATGGTTCAACTCAGTGTATTCCTTAAGTTTTGATTTATTGTAGGTTTCTGATAGAAAAAAAGTATCTTCATGTTCTTTTACTGTTTTGGATGGCTAATGAGAGTAAAAACTTTGACACTTCAAAAGTTTAATGTGTTTAAAAGCTGGGAGTATATGCATTAGTAATCTGGTCAGGAAAATAATTAACCAGTGTTAAATCAATTGGTGCCCGATTTAGGCTACATAAAGTTGCCTCTATAGGAAGTATCTTGATTTAAAATCACAGCTTGAAATTTTTTTTTTTTATAAGCCAGGTGGCTACAGGTCAGACCATCTCAGACATACTTAGGAAATTTGGTTAAAATTTTATGTAGCCATTTTCTTACATTGGGATAAGACAGTAAAACTTAATTTTTATTAATATAGATTTGAAAGCTAAAGCCATCCAAAGATTATGATTTGCAGGTTTTTAATTCAAATGGTAATAATATTGGAAATTCCAGTTTGGAAATTATATGTATATAGATATGGTGTGTGCTTAATGTTCTTGACTTCTGTGGCTAGTATGCTCATTGGATTGAAAAATGGATTCAGGCCTAGAAGGAATTAGTCAGATAATTTTATTCTATGCCCTACCTAGGATCTGTTCTGTATAAATATATATCCAATTACATATTTAGAGAAATCAGACTAAATAAAAAATACCCTTGTTGAAAATTAATTTAAATTATACATAGTCTGTTCAGTCCTCCATGAGGGACATTTCATATCCAGAATGCCATATACACATGAAATATTTTTGTCGATACCCTTTGAGAAGAGTTATTTGGAGAAAGTTGAGAATTCCAGAGGCAACATAGAGACAAGACAGGTAAATAAATATACTTTGCTATGTATAGAAAGATGAGATTATTAGGGCATACACTCCCATATTAGATTTCATCTGATTATTCGAGTACTTCTTAACTAAGTTGCTTGTATGATTCATCGCATTTATGAAATGACTGGCTGTGGTTGGAGACATAGCCTGTAGCCATAAAGTAACATAAACTTAGCCATTCAACTTCGACTTGGGTTTTTTTTGTTGTTTTTTTTTTTTAGTTTCACTTCATTTTCTTTTTCTCTCTCTCTGCTTCAGCTTTATTGAGGTATAATTGACAATTAAAACTTGTATATATTGAAGGTATACAGCATGGTGTTTGATATTCAACTTTAACTTTGAATGAATGATCTTAACCTTATTAGTTACTTGGCTCCAATTCTATGAGTCAGCTAGGCACTTTGAACTCCTATAATTGTCATGAACTTTTATGAACCATCAGATTCTTCTTATTTTTTATTAAAACATTTGTTATTAATATTTTTTAATAAATGTACTGTGAAATTAAGTATAATAAGGATAAGATATTAATCATAAAGAGTGAGTTTTTTTTAATGTATTTCAGCTAATGTCCACTGAAAGGAAAAGTTTTTTGTGTTAAGGCCATTTTATGGTTATAAAATAAGAATGATCTTCCTTCTGATTTTTTCTGAATAGCATTATTTTTATGAGATGATACTTCTACAGAACATTTTAAAATTCATAGTGTACCTTACTTGTGCTTTCCCAAATCTTCAAGTTGTCTATACAAGTTGAGTAAATCTGTGAATTCAGAAAGAATATATTAGTATAGCCTAAAGGTTAAATAACTTTGACAAATGCCACAGTAAAAAAGGACATTAAGAAAAGTTGAACTTTTTTTCAGTTGAAGGAGTCTATTATAATCTAATCTTCATGTTTCAAGTTATGAATTTACTTTCATATTATAGTTTGCCCAGTGTTAGAAGGCTAATGTAGGAAGAAGAGATAAATACTCTACCCTTTAGGTATCAATAAAATAATTATCTATATTAAAAAATAGAATAATTTATTGCTAACTATTAATGATCCTAATATTCTATTGAGTATTTCTATTCTAACTTTGGAATATAGTTTGTTCTAGTTTAGTTCTGATGAATAATCTTTTTTTACCTATTTACATGGTATTAAATTTTTAAAATTTATTAATATTGATAATGTTTTGAAAATATATATATTGAATATATATTTGAAAATATAATTAAGTTTTGAAAATAGTATTTTAAGTAGTGGTATTTTGTAGTATTTTAAGAAACCAATACATATGAGTTGTTCAAGTGTTAAATTTGCTTAACTTAGAGAAAAATTAAGTTGAATGTTGGCTATATAATATGTTAGATACAATTAATTATTATAAACAGATAACTAATTTATATAATAGTGATATCATCACCACTTAAAGGAATATATTGCTTAATATTTGAATATATTCATAAAATCCATTTCATTACACTGTTACTCTAAAGTAAAAATTTTAGTAGATGCTTATCAAACTGCTTCATTTCAGAATCAAGAAAAACTAATTGAAATTTAGAAGAATTTAATTTGAAAGTCATTGCAGATGACTTGGTATTAATAATCTTAATAGAGTTTAGTACTCCTGTCTTCTGATAGGTTTCAGAACTTGCAATATTGTGTTGCCATAAGGTGAAATTTTTTTTTTTTACTTTAGCTTTGTTTTTCAGAAATTATCCTTAGGAAAAAACAAAGGATTCAAACCCTAAAGAATTCTTAATTATAATCTTCATTTTTTAAAATGTTGCGGTTCGTATGGATCTAATCTTAATTGTAGGATATTCTATCCTATGTATTTAAACAGTAAAAACTTCATTATCTTGGGTTCTATTAACAGAATTGTGAATAATTAAGATGTAAGCAGGAATGAAGTTCATTTGTGCACTGTGAGGGGGAAAGAGGGGATTGTTAAATAGATTAATTGATCTGAAATTAATCTCCCACCAGATTGACCCTGGAGACATATTCTGTCATCATCCTTCCTCCTACCACAAAATGTCTGTGATAGAGACAGGCAGTAATATGTTATGGAAAATCTTCACATTGGTCAGGGTTGGCATGGCTATCATAGTTTTACCCCCAGGAGAAAGTTCTTGCGGAGCGTTCCTCACCTCTTCATCTCCTCCTACTCTTGACCTGGTTACCAACCTTCAATGAATTTGCACCAGTGAACAGTTTTACTTTAAAATGAATAAGGCTTAATTAAAAAAAGATTATTTGAATGATTTAAGGCAGTGTTTTGTAGAAGGGGATCTAGTAACTTGAGGTTTTAGTTATCCTTCTGAAGACAAAGTAGAAACTGCACTTAGAACTTTAATGCATTTAAATAAATATGTATAGTACAGTGTCTTTTGCATTGTAAACACTCAAATGTTTGAGGAATCATTGGCATTTGAAATGGTCATAATGTCTTTCAGATACTAAAATTTAATCACCATATCTATTTTTGCCAATGAGGCATTTTCCCTAGGCATAAAAGATGCATGAATACACTTAGCAGAAATATAATTGTTAGCTTTAAATAAAATTCTGTATAAAATCGTAATATATCAGGAAATTGTTTTTATACAGGTAAATGGTTGCAGTTTTGTGGTGAGAACAGAAAAGCCTACAGATTTGTTAAGGGTACAGTATTTAAAACTACTCATGATACTAATGTTTTATACTATTTAAAACCATCTGGCTTACTAACAGAGCTTTTTCCTGCATGTACTTCTTTCTATGTTTGATTTCTAAATACGTTTAATGTATAACAAAACAAAATTATCCACCTTCTGTTATAAAACTCAGTTGTTTCAGAATTTGCAGATATCTTGTTTTTGCTCTTGAGGTATATATCACATTAAAAACAAAGTAGGTTGCCATACTAGTAAACTCCCAGGTGATGAGTGATGTTTTAAAGTGGACTTTGCTATGGAATTCAATTTTTGAATCCCTCTTCGTGAGGAATGTTGCTAGTACCGAATTATTAAAAATCTGGGATTGATTTAGGAAGAAGAATTTGGTGTTGATGATTCTTCTTCTGAACATGGAGCACAGTTCAGTCAGACCCATGTGGAGATGGAGAATGAATTGGCTGGGAAACAGCATGAGATTGAAGAGCTAAACAGAGAACTAGAAGAAATGAGGGCCACCTATGGGACTGAAGGACTGCAGCAGGTATGTTTACCTTATGTGGCTTTTGGTTTGTTACAAAAATAGGAAATTTGAGTGATAATATATGTACATTCTTTAAAGATAGTTTTTTAAATGGTAACTTAAAGTCATCTTGTAGTATTTGTCCTTATACATATTGTGAACAACCTCACTTAAAACTGGGATTCCATTAATAGGGCTTATGTCGACTCTTTTGTTTAACGTTATGAGGTAGCTAAGGCCTAAATCACTTCAGTAGGATAGATGATTTTGTAATCAGCCTGAGAGAAAATTATAGTGCAAACTACATCAAAATGTTATGACTTAAACTCATTAAAAATGTCAGCGAGTCCTAGTAAGTAACCTCTTGTGGTTAAAATGACATTTGTTGTTTGTGCAGTCAGTTATGAAAACAAGGTGAAATAGGACATTGATGAGGATGACAGACTACATTTCAGTTTCATCCTGTCCAGGAACAAGTGAGGCTTGAACATGTCTATGATGGTGATGCCTATGAACAGATTGGGGCATCTCTAAATATAAAGGCACTTGTTCTTCTAGAAATAGCTATATGGATAAGTCAGACCTAATGTATTTTGTTCCTTAGTTAGATAATTTTTTAAAAAATTGATTGGTTGGGGCCGGCCCAGTGACATAGTGGTTAAGTTTGTGGACTCTGCTTCGGCAGCCTGGGGTTGGCAGGTTTGGATCCCGAGTGTGGACCTACACACCACTCATCAAGCCATGCTGTGGTGGCATCCCACATACAAAATAGAGTAAAACTGGCACAGATGTTAGCTCAGGGACAATTTTCCTCAAGCAAAAAGAGGAAGATTGACAACAGATGTTAGCTCAGGGCCAATCTTCCTCAACAACAACAACAAAAAATGATTTGGAAGTAAAACTAATTCCTGCAAGGTAATAGCTTTCAAATATGGGAAAGATTGCTTACAAATTGAAATAATTCTGCCAATGCATTTTGTTTTTTTTTTTTTTTTTTTTTTTTTTAAGATTTTATTTATTTTATTTTTTTTCCCCCCAAAGCCCCAGTGGATAGTTGTATGTCGTAGCTGCACATCCTTCTAGTTGCTGTATGTGGGACTCGGCCTCAGGATGAACGGAGAAGCGGTGCCTCGATGTGCACCCGGGATCCGAACCCGGGCCACCAGCATCGCAGCGCGCGCACTTAACCACCAAGCCACAGGGCCGGCCCTGCCAATGCATTTTGAATATCATGTTTTTGAAGAACAGCTACCTGTAATAATATTCAATTTTGTTACAAAAAGTAAGTCTAGCACTTATTATTTTCGCTGATGTCTTTTAGTTACAAGAATTTGAAGCTGCCATTAAACAAAGAGATGGCATCATAACCCAGCTCACTGCTAATTTACAACAAGCAAGAAGAGAAAAGGATGAGACAATGAGAGAATTTTTAGAGTTGACAGAACAAAGTCAAAAGTTACAGATTCAATTCCAACATGTAAGTATTGCTAATAGAACAAAATTTATTAGATATTTAGTAATGAGTTTTTAAAAAATTTTCATACTTTACAAAACAAATATAAATTTGTTTAAAAGCCATTTGCTTATTCTATATCATGAAAACACTAGTAAATACCTATTGTTATTGTTAACCAAGAATTTAATTCATACTTCTTGAGTGGTTTCTTGCTAATTATTTTCTTTGTACTTCTTCCTTATCTATATTTTGAAATCCTACAAAACCTTATAAGTCTGATTGGGTGGATTTTTGCAGAAATTAACTTGTAATCACATCCTAGCTTTGCCAACCTTGGTATGATTTTATTTTAGTTAGGTTCTAAAGTGGCAACTAGACTAAATATATTCCACTTACCTTTAATTAGAGCCGTAGGAGTCTAATGGGATTAATCAAGGTTTCTGATGTCAAGTAACAGAAAATAATTTGAGATAGTTTAAGCAAAAGGGAGGAATTTAATGTAAGGATACTGGTATCTTACAGAATTTGAGGCAGAAATATAACCAGGCCTCTGAAAGGAATTGGAACCAGAATCTAGAAAGTCATCGGGAATTTAGGAAGTACTGTCTTTCAGGCCCCATTTCTTTGTGGGTGTCTGTCTCAGTCTCACTTCTCACTAGACTACTTTTCCTGCTTTATCATGGGAAAGAATCTTATTGGTTCCTTTTGGATAGTGTGCTCATATTCGTCTGATCAGCCATGGCAGCATGTTGGCTGAGGTCTCAAGCCTGTGAATCCAGCACAGTTCCAGAGAGCAATTGTGGGCTGAGTAATACCTCAAAAGATGTCTGTTCCTTACTGCAGTCACGTCAGAATTTAATACTGTGGGATTTCTTTCTATTTTCAAGTTACAGGCTAGTGAAACTCTGAGAAACAGCACTCACAGTAACACAGCTGCAGATTTACTACAAGCCAAACAGCAGATCCTCACTCATCAGCAACAGCTGGAGGAACAAGACCATCTCTTAGAAGATTATCAAAAAAAGAAAGAAGACTTCAAAATGCAAATTAGTTTCTTACAAGAGAAAATTAAAACATATGAAATGGTATGTTTATTTTAAGGAAGTCAGCCAATGTGCAGCAGCTTTACAATTAACTTTAAAGTTTTTTATGCAAGTGTTTATCTTTTTATTATGCACATGAATCACAAAATTTCAGAATTAAGCAAAACTCTTTAAGTATGTAAAATAATTTATTTCAAAAGCAATTGGGAGTCACACAATAATAGTTTTCAAGATAATACCTATTACTGAGTTCCTTGAAAGTGATCAGCCTATGTTAAACTGAGTTCTCAGAAGAATCTAAATTTATAACCAGAATTTTTATCCTTTTTTTCTTTTCATCTAAAGGTATTTCTACTCATTTTAGCCATGGTTATAAAATTCTGAAAATATTTTCACAACAAGATGAGATTTTATGGATTTTAAATAGAAAAAAATACAGTTGATTCTTTTTATTTATGGTAGTTAAGTTTTATAAAGTTGCCTGGAACACTTATTTGGCAAATAAGTGTCCTAAGGGATATGTAATACATATATACACGCGTGCATATATACACACATATACATATCTCACATAGATTATAATCTTAGATTCTAAAAACAGCTCATTTTAGTAGATTATATTTTGTTTATTTTTCCAAAGAGAAAATGAGGTTCAGAAATGTTAAGTGACTTGCTTGAGGCTGCCCTAACAGTTGCCACAGTTGGAATTTAAACCCCATCCAGCTGGCCCAGAGCCAGAATTTCTTGCAGTGCACTGCCCCCTACCCTCTCCATCCTCCTCCTTTGCATCCATCTTCTTCACATGAGAAGTGCAACAAGAAGGCAGGGTGTGGTTGTCTTGTTTGACGTCAGCTGGAAATGTGTGTGTCCAGCAACTCAAATTTTTTATCAGTCTGTACACTTCTAAGGTGACTGTGAGTATTGATTTGGGGGTTACAAATAAATTTTAGTAAGTGGGTGAATTCGCACATACAGAATCGGTGAATAATGAGGACAGACTGTACATATAATACAGTACTTTTTATAAACCTAGAAAGTTCTTCTGCAAGAGGTTGAGAAATTACCAAGACAAGAATATTGTTTGGATAATAATAAAAATATCAGCTGGCTTTTTTTTTTTTTAACTTGATACCAGGCAATATTCAAAGCACGTTACACATACTAACTCATTGAATCATCACAACAACCTTATGAGGTTATCATTATCATTATCACCCCCATTTTACAGATGAGGACACCAAGGCAAAGCAAGATGAAGTAAATTAGCCAACTATACAGGTAATAAGTTGGTGGTAGACCCAGATTTCAACTCTAAAGACTGTCTCTTAGGAAAATAGGAAATGTACAAATTTAAGATATTGAAATTATGAAATGGACATGCTTTACAACTCAGGTAATTTAAAAATCATTACACAGATGATTACAGAACACCTATTTTGTACCAGGCCCTTGCAAGAGGTAGTGACACTTAAAATGTGCCTTTTTCTTCACTGGAACTCATGGTTTAGTAGGGCACATGCACAAGACACCACAAAACAGGGATAAATGTAGTAAAAAGTGTTTTGAAAGTTTTGAGTAGGTCTGGCTTCATAAGGGAAGTGATTCAGGGTAGGCCTTAGGCTGGAGGTGATATTTGAGGTAGGTGTGTTAAGTTGGAACAATTCCTCTTTAATTGTGTTTTGTTTCCTCAGCAGTTGTCGTAATGTGTGGCACATAACAGCTACTCAATACTTTTTTGGTAAATAAGTGAATAAATTATGAATCTGAACTGGTAGAGATAGGGAGGACATTTTAGACTGAGGGTGGAGTGTGCATAAAGACTCAGGCTAAAACGTGTTGAAAATGTATATAGGGAGCAAAAAATAGTTTAACTGGAAAACAGTAGTCTTTGAAAGTGAGTCTTTCCAGGAAGAAAGAGTAAAAAGATAGTCTAGGCCTAGGTTAGAAGAGCCTGGAAACTGGATTTTATTATATTTACTATATTCAGTAGGCAGTGTAATTTGAGATTATTTGAAATTCAAATAATTCATTTTCATAAGAAGAATAACCTTTATTTATTTGAATGTTAGTAAGACTACTTTTATTATCAGTCTCTTTTTCATTATATGTATCTTTTAATTTCTCCTTTTTTTTCTTTGAATGAATCCCCCTGAGTAGTAATTCCATCAGAGAAGCTGAGGGACTAGGGCATTAGGGTGATAGTTGAAACTGTCTTAGCCGCTAGACAACTGCTTGACAGTTCCAGGCTCATTCTCATTGTCCTAATCTTCTGAACTTCCCATGGCGCAGTGGTCACAGGCAGGGAGTATATTATTCCCCACTCTCTCAGGTCTGTTTCCAAAAAATAGAGAGATTGTATCCTCAACCACAGGGCTGTGTTTTTTTGCAACACAAAATAAGTGGTTTAAAACCATATACTTTGAAATAAATGGTAGTAAGAAAAATGAACCATGAATTTGTGTTGTTTAATGAAGTTGAATGAAGAATTATTGTTGTTCGTTTGCAATTATATCAGGTGTTGGGCAATTCTAAATTGATGCTGTTTTTTGAGGGATTTTCCCCCCATAGAAAATCAGGAAATAGAAATGTTACAGATCTTATAACCACATTAACATTTTCAAGACTAGTTATTTAATAATTTAGCTGAAATTGACCACCATGAACTGATTTTACTTTCTTATAGGTTTCACATGCCTTCAAGATTTTTTACTAGTATATAAATATATTTGTATGTAGTGCAGTGAGAATAAAATACCTTAATATATTTATTTTAACTTTGAGATAGAGGAAATAATATTATCTTTGTTTTACAGGTGAAAACGAGATTTAAAGAGATTAAATTGATTTAAATGTCATATTGTAGTGCAGAAATTAAAGTAAGAGGACTCAACACTTGATAATAACTTATGGTAACATTGGATGGGGTATGGATACCAAGACAAAAGCTGACAGGATTTTGCTCAAGAGGCTACACAGAATAGCATTCATTACCTTGGTTAATTTATGTCAAAGAATCTGGCCTTTGATTTATAGGGTCAACAGTCTGATTTAGTTTTTATTTTCTCTCAGCTGAGACTTGGGCTATCTCAGAGGTGAACTCAGATTTTCCAAGTTCAAGAGGCTAATGTTTAAACCTTGAATATAAGATTATTAATTTACGAGAAATAATTATCACAGGGACCTGTATACTTCAAATTCGTTGGATTTTACTTTCTTTCCGTGGACAGATAAATTTGAAAAGCCAAACAATAATGATAGAAAGTTGTTTAGTGAGCATGAGATCAAGGGATGTTAGAGGAATCAATGTTCAGTAGCATTAGGCTGTGATAACCTGATATATCCATCTCACAATAGAAATGGTCACACCTATAGACTGAAATTCTTAAATTCTGATTGCTACAACCCTCTACATTGCTTTCTACATTAGGTATGGTTTTCCTAGAGGGATCAGAATTCTCCAAGTGTCATGGCACCTTGATTCTCTTCCCTGGACTGTACTTGAGTGGGCACTGCCAACACTTCCCTCTGAGGCTTTTCTTTTTCTAGGATTTGACATTCTTTCTTTAGATACATTAATACATTCATTCAAGGTGCGTTTAGGTCCTCTTGGCCAGAGACTACTGTCTCCTGAAGGTGATTTTACTTACCTACTTATATTCTGTTCCATTCTGTGGTTTTTGTTTTTGTTTTTGTTTTTTTTGTGAGGAAGATCAGCCCTGAGCTAACATCCATGCTAATCCTCCTCTTTTTGCTGAGGAAGACCAGCTCTGAGCTAACATCTATTGCCAATCCTCCTCCTTTTTTTCCCCAAACCCCCAGTAGATAGTTGTATGTCATAGTTGCACATCCTTCTAGTTGCTGTATGTGGGACGCCACCTCAGCATGGCCGGAGAAGTGATGTGTCGGTGCGCGCCCGGGATCCGAACCCTGGGCTGCCGGTGGTGCAGCGCATGCACTTAACCGCTAAGCCACGGGGCTGGCCCTCATTCTGTGGATTTTAACTTTTCTTTGTCCTCGGGATTACAGCCCTTAACTATTTGGGCAACTTCTGCTTGACTCTCTTATACTGTAACACTTCTGTGAATGAATGTGATTACAGATATGCCTTGGCATGTGTTCTGAGTTTAGGCTTCTCTACAATTCCCAAATAGAGCCCCAAATCAGAACTGAGAAAAAGTATCTGTCCTGCTTTCAAATTTCTGTTTAAACCAAAAGTCTAGGACCAAGTTGATACGCCATAAATGGTATAGTTGTCTTGGATGTCACTTGAGGTTCAATCACTTAAGCATTGCATATCCCTAAATTTCTCATTCACTTAGCCCCAGGAGTGAAGTTAAGGCAGATCTGTAGGAACCTGTTTTTGTTATTGTTTTACTCTTTTCATAGCACTTGCTCATCAAACACCTTCAAGTCACTAGAATACATGGGAAGAACCTTGATTTATTTTTAGAACAACTTCTGGAACTATAGAGTACATAGTACTCTAACTAGCTATAGAAAATACTAATGACTTAGAATGTTGATCAGTTAATAAGAAAGATAAAAATATAATGGTTTAGACACATTTTAATCTGACAATTTTTAAATTAAAATTTTTAATCATAGCAATGTAAGAAAAATTTCTTCTTCTCAAGAAGGCCAATACTACTGTAGTATTTGCTCACAAGTAGTGTTGGGTTCACAAGTCCTATGTCTCATTGACTTGGGAAAAATTGAGAGGCAGGCCCAGCAGTTATCTTTTTATTTGTTGTTGTTGTTGGTGCCATTGAGTCGATTCCAACTCCTAGCGACCCTGTGTACAGCAGAGTGAAACCCTACCTGGCCCTTTTGCAGTGCTCTGCTGCTATTCGTGGGGTTTTCATGGCCAGTTTTTTTGGAAGTGAGTGGCCAGGTCCTTCTTCCTGGACTGTTTAGTTTGGAAGCTCTGCTGAAACGTTTCTACCATGGGTGACTCTGCTGGTATTACAAATACCAGTGACACAGTTTGCAGCATCACAGCAACATGCAGCTGCCACAGTATGACAACTGGCAGATGAGTGGTATGGTTCCCTGACCAGGAAACGAACCTGGGCTGTGGTAGTGAGAGCACTGAGTCTTAACCACTAGACTACCAGGGCTGGCTTTACTTTTTATGGAATTATATAAAAAGCAGACTTCCGTCAATCTTTTGGCAGTGGGGTTAAGCAATATTAAGTTGCCAAGAACTAAAAATGCCATTTTCATTTTTCCTTTCTAAAGGAACAAGACAAAAAGGTGGAAAGCTCAAATAAAGAAATACAGGAAAAGGAGGCGATCATTGAAGAATTAAATACAAAAATAACTGAAGAAGAAAAGAGAACGCTTGAGCTAAAGGATAAAGTAACAGCTGCTGATAAATTACTAGAAGAATTGCAAGAACATGTTTTACAAAAGAACCAAGAGATAAAAAATATGAAATTAGAGCTGACTAATTCCAAGCAAAAAGAAAGACAGTGTTCTGAGGAAATAAAACAATTAATGGGGACAGTTGAAGAACTTCAGAAGAAAAATCATAAAGACAGCCAATTTGAAACTGATATCCTACAAAGAATGGAACAAGAAACACAAAGGAAGTTAGAACAACTCCGGGCAGAGCTGGATGAGATGTATGGGCAGCAGATAGTGCAGATGAAACAAGAGCTAATAAAACAACACCTGTCACAGGTAGATGAACTTAAAACACGACATAAGGGAGAAATGGAGAATGCTTTAAGATCATATCCAAATATTACAGTCAGTGAAGATCAAATAAAGTTAATGAATATGGCAATAAATGAACTGAATATAAAATTGCAAGATACTAACTCTCAAAAGGAAAAACTCAAGGAAGAACTTGGAGTAATTTCAGGAGAAAAGTCTGCTCTACAGAGACAGCTTGAAGACCTTTTTGAAGAATTGAGCTTTTCAAGGGACCAAATTCAGAGAGCTAGACAGACAATAGCTGAACAAGAAAGTAAACTCAATGAAGCATATAAGTCCCTTAGTACAGTTGAAGATTTGAAAGCTGAGATTGTTTCTGCATCCGAATCCAGGAAGGAACTAGAATTAAAACATGAAGCAGAAGTTACAAATTATAAGATAAAACTTGAAATGTTAGAAAGAGAAAAGAATGCTGTGTTAGACAGAATGGCTGAATCACAAGAAGCTGAATTAGAGAGGCTGAGGACACAGCTTCTGTTTAGTCATGAAGAAGAACTTTCCAAACTGAAGGCAGATTTAGAAATTGAACATCGAATCAATGTTGAAAAACTTAAAGATAACTTAAGTATTCACTATAAACAGCAGATAGATGGCTTACAGAATGAAATGAGTCAAAAGATAGAAACTATGCAGTTTGAAAAAGACAATTTGATAACTAAGCAGAATCAATTAATTTTGGAAATTTCAAAGCTAAAAGATTTACAGCAGTCCCTTGTGAATTCAAAATCAGAAGAAATGACTCTTCAAATCAGTGAACTTCAAAAAGAAATTGAAATACTCAGACAAGAAGAAAAGGAAAAGGGTACACTTGAACAAGAAGTTCAAGAATTACAACTTAAAACTGAATTATTGGAGAAACAAATGAAGGAAAAAGAGGATGATCTTCAAGAAAAATTTGCACAACTTGAAGCAGAGAATAGCATTCTTAAAGATGAAAAGAAAGCCCTTGAAGACATGTTGAAAATATATACTCCTGTTAACCCAGAAGAAGGATTAATTTTCATAGACTCCATTAAGTCCAAATCCAAAGACTGTAGCTGGCAAAAAGAAATAGAAATACTTACGGAGGAAAATGAGGACCTCAAAAAACAATGTATTCAGCTAACTGAAGAGATTGAAAAGCAAAGGAACACTTTTTCATTTGCTGAAAAAAATTTTGAAGTTAACTATCAAGAATTACAGGAGGATTATTCTTGCCTTCTCAAGGTAAAAACTGATTTAGAAGACAGTAAAAATAAACAAGAAATAGAGTATAAAAGTAAGCTTGAAGCACTTAGTGAAGAGCTTCATCATTTGCAAAGAATAAATCCAACTATAGTAAAAATGAAAAGGTCAGTCTTTGATGATGACAAAACTTTTATAGCAGAACCATTGGAAATTGGTGAGGTTGTTGAGAAAGATACAACCGAACTTATGGAAAAACTCGAAGTAACCAAGCGAGAAAAATTAGAACTGTCAGAGAGACTGTCTGATCTTTCTGAACAATTAAAACAGAAACATAGTGAGATTAGTTTTCTAAGTGAAGAAGTTAAATGTTTAAAGCAAGAGAAGGAGCAAGTCTTATTGCGATGTAGGGAACTAGAAATCATAATTAACCATAATAGGACAGAAAGTGTTAATGTCTGTGATGTTCAGTTAAGCACTTTAAGAGATGGAGTTGTGACAACGACAAGCAGAGATTCTGGAATTTCTAAAATAAATAAAAGTTTTGGTGAAGAATCAAAAATAATGAAGGAAGATAAAATTTCTTTTGAAAATATGACTTTTGGAAAAGAAAGCAAGCAAGAACAGTTGGTTTTGAATCACTTGCCATCAGTGACAAATGAATCATTGCCTGGGACAGTTGAACCAAGTGAAAATGATAAACTTCAGCAGGAACTCAGTGTACTTAAGTCTGAACAGGTATGTTTATTTATGTATGCTAAAGCACAGTGAAAATGTACATTTCATACTAAAAAAGTTCTCATCTTAATAAAACATAATTAACTTCCCTACAAAAGAATGAAAGTGAATCTTGTGATGTAATTCTTTTTTTTTTTTTTT